CATGAGACCTGCTATGTTCTGTTCACTGCTTCCTGCCCCACCCAGCAAGACTGGGAAGCATGAATTGGCATATACCTAGGCATCAGGCTTTACCACATACCTTCCTCCTACCCAGGACCCTGTGATCCGGAAGCAGGCACTCAGCAAGCATTCATTTGTGTGAGGGAGCCCTTTAACCTGGCAGGCCATTTTATTTATTTATTTATCTTAATAGCATTTATTGGGGGAAGTCAGAGCCTTATTATGAAAGTATGCGATTTCATTGTAGAAATTTGGAAAATAATAATAGCTACCATTTATTGAGACCATATTATGGGTCAGCATAACCTAAGTCTATGAGGCTGGGCTCTGTCACTTACTAGCTGGCTGTTCTTGCTGAAGCGACTGCCCTTTTCTGAGCCTCAGTTTCTGTATCTGTAATAGAGATTCTAATAAAAACCTATTTCACAGGATTATTGTGTAAACTAAATTTATCATAACCTTGCCACATTATTATTGTTAAAAAGGTGTTTCCCAAAAACAAAGTTAAGAAAACAAAAGAGCCCTAGCCAGTTTGGCTCAGTGGATAGAGCGTCGGCCTGCGGACTGAAGGGTCCCAGGTTCGATTCCGGTCAAGGGCATGTACCTTGGTTGCGGGCACATCCCCCGTAGGGGGTGTGCAGGAGGCAGCTGATCGATGTTTCTAACTTTCTATCTCTCTCCCTTCCTCCCTGTAAAAAATCAATAAAATATATTTTTTAAAAAAAGAAAAGAAAACAAAAGAGTCTGACCTCATCTAATATTTATGTGTCTGACCTGTATTTCTCTATTCCCCAATGTAAAGGGTTCTGAATATCTTTCCGTGGTCTCTGGGCTCACAGCAGATTGGAGTTTTGGGAGGACATTGGAGGCCAATCTGTCCAGCTTCCAAGTTCATCCCTTGACCTCTGGGATGGTGGCCACTGGCCTCTTCTCGATTCCGTCCCACAGTGGATGCCCACTGCCTGACATTGGTAGAGAGGTCCTGGACTGGGAGAAGGGAGGTCCTAAATGAGGATCTTTCCAGGCCTGTTTTCCCACCTGTAGGAGACCCCGGCCCTGGAGTGAGAAGTTTCTACTCTTGAGAATAGACATAGTCCACTTTGCTTTTAGGTCATTTCCTGAAAGACCCTTATCAGTCATGCCCCCTTTGGGACTGAAGAGTTTATTGGGACCTAGCAGCTCAGGAGGTAAAAGTGAGTAAAGGACAGACAGGTTCTCTAAGTTCATGCATTTCCTCAGAATAAACAGCTCTCTCTCCCACCTTCCTCCCCTTCTCCACTCACATCACTGCCCCCTTGGATCAATCCCTCCTTTAGCATGACATTTCAGGCCTTCATATTATGAGTTCTGCCCTCCACCCTTCTCAATGTTCCAGAAACGATCATGCTATGTTCAGGCCTCTTCGTCCAGTGGGAACATCCTCCTTTGCTTTTTCCCCTTGGGAAAATCCTCCTCAGTCCTTCAAGAACTAGCTCAAGCCCTGGCTGGTTTGGCTCAGTGGATAGAGCATCGGCCTGTGGACTAAAAAGGTCCCAGGTTCGATTCCGGTCAAGGGCATGTACCTTGGTTGCGGGCACATCCTCAGTAGGAGGTGTGCAGGAGGCAGCTGATTGATGTTTCTCTCTCATCAGTGTTTCTAACTCTTTATCTCTCTCCCTTCCACTCTGTGAAAAAATCAATAAAATATATTTAAATTTAAAAAAAAGAACTAGCTCAAATGTTCCCTCCTCCATGAATACTCCCACTCCCCCCAAGCAGAATTACACTCTACATCCTAATAGTCCTGCGGCCATTAGAGCATTTCTTATTCAGGTTTGTGATTTTTTTCACTATGTGTCTCCCTCGTGGACTGTGAACTCCTCAGGGAAGGGACTCTCACTCATTCATCTTGCCTGACACACAGTAGGTATCAATAA